TTTCGATATTTTTCATTTCGCGATTGCCCAATATTACTCTGTTTCGTTGTCTCGACTTCTCAGTTTTTCGATTTTCATATTTTTTCGATTGTTTCTCGAGTTTTCGATTTCTCGATTTTTTAATTTCTCCCTACCTCAGTTTTTCGATGTCCTAGTTTTGAGATTTTTCAGTTTTCTATTCTTCAATTTTTCTTCGATTTTAAGATTTTTCGATATTCGAGTTTTAGGATTTTTTAATTTTCGAATCTTCAGTTTTTAAATTTTTAAATATTTCGGTGTTTAACCCTTAAGCTACGATGTAAAAAATGTTGACGTAAAAATCGACGTGGGATCCCTTGGGGACCCCAGCTTATTTATTGTTTATTTTAAGTAAATTTTTTTTTTTTTTGGATAGTCTATTGATTAATGATAAAGTACATGCAAAAATTTATTTTAATTTGAACATACTTCTAAAAGAAAAAAATTTAAATATTACGAATTTCTTGGTTTTCGGCGTGATCAAACAATCAAATTCTATCTAGAAACAGTATTTTTGTCGATGTTTATTAAATCTGAACTATATTTCAACATTTTTTGATGATTTTGAGTGACGAAACACACTTAGATCATGCAGAATCATTTACAACGCGGGGTCACTTGAAGACCCCAAGCACAAAATTATAAATAAAATAAAAATTAATTTGTTTTATAATTAGGCAAATGCATTTTCGCATGTGTGGTGACAACACAAATAAAGTCAAAAAAGGAAATTGAGCAAAAAAATTTTGTAAAAAAGTTATTTGAAAAAAACTAAAATTGGGGTCCCTTGAGGACCCCACATCGTAGCTTAAGGGTTAATATTCCAGTTTTCGGTGTTTCTAAATTTTCAATTTTTCTGCATTCCGATTTTTCGATTTTTTGACTATTAGATTTTTCAATTTTTGGATATTTTGATTCTTCAATATCTCCATTGCTCAATTTTTCGATGTTTCAGCATCTCGGCTTTTCAATTTCGCGATTTTCGATTCTTCCACGACTTTTCAATTTCTCGATTTTGATATTTTTCGATAACTCAGTTTTTCTTTTTCAATTTTGGGATTTTTCAATTGTTATGAATTTTCACTATTTTGTTACGTTAATTACTTCAGTTTCTCGGTTTTTTATTTTACGGATTTTGAAGTTAAATTTTTTGGTTTCTTAAATTTTAGATTTTTCGATTTCTTGATTTCTGGTACATATTTTGATTTTTCAGTTTTTCGATCTCTCAATTTTTTGGTTTTTAAATTTTTCAGTTTTATCTTTTTTCAATTTTTTGACTTAAAAACTAAAGAACGAAAAAACTGAAAAATCGAGAATGCGAAAATTCGAAAATTTTCAAAATCGAAGAATTGAAAAACTGAAAGTCGAAAAATCGAAAAGGAAAAAAATTGAAAATCTGAATATCAAAAAATTGACAAATCAGGTCAGGTCAAGTCGAAATTAAAAAAAATTGAACATCGAAAGACCGAAAACTTGCTAAATGGAAAAATCGAAAATTTGAAATTTGCAATATCGAAAGGTCGAAAAATAGAAATAACGCGAAATCGAGAAACCGAAACATCGAAAAATTGAAACATTAAAAGATCGAGAAGTCGGAAATTCGAGGAAAAATCTAAAATTAAAATATCAAAAAAAATGAAAAATACAGAAACCAAAACATTCCCAAAATAGAAATGCCGAAAAGTTGAGAAATAGAAAAATCGAAAAGTGGCAATTTAAAAAAATTAAAAAATCGTAAAATGGAAAAATTGAATAATCGTTAAGGGGGAATTTAAAAAAAATGAAAACCTGAAAAATCGAAAAACTGAAAAACTCAACAAACGGGAAATTGAGGAGTCGAAAGATCTTAAATTTAAAAAAATTGGTCTAAAGAGTTTAGACAGTACTTCCCTCGCTGTCGGAAACTTGACGACTGCATGCCTATTGTGTTTTTTTTTTCATTACATTTTTGTAGTGGGAATTTAAAAAAAAATTGTGATGACGTCATCAACATTTTTGCAAGGACACGTATATCAGTTGGGATAGATGTAGTGTAATACTAAGAATAAAATTATTGTATTCCCAAATTTTCGGGAAAATGAATTGGGTCGTTTTGAATATTGATTTCTTATAATCAATAAAATAACGAAACAATTTACTCAGGTATACGGCGCCTTTTTTTGAACCACCACTTAAGAAAATCTAAAAAATATGAATGGAATGATATATCACAAGTACAAACTCATCATATTTTTTGCATTTTAGATAGGATTTATTCAGCAAAATTTAAGGGTGACGTCATCAATTTTTTTAGGAGGGATGAACAAATACATTTTGAACAAAAGTTTACCATGCTTATAATAACTTTAAAATATTCCCAAGATTTCAAAGCATTCGGTTTTGTAATTCCTGATTAAATCGATAAAATAAATTCACGCCTTCATTAATTTTTTTGAGTCACCCTGCATATGCAAATCCAAAAATATGAATGGAATGATAAATCACAAGTACAGACTCATCATATTTTGTACAATTTAGATACGATTTATTCGGCAAACTTTTGAGCTGACGTCATCAGTTTTTTGTAGAAGATAACCAAATATATTTTGACTAAAAATTTATTATGCTCTTTATAACCTTAAAACATCTGCAAGATTTCAAAGCATTTGGTTTTGTAGTTCCTGATTAAATCAATAAAATAAATTTACGCATTCATTAATTTTTTTGAGTCACCCTGTATATGCAAATCGAAAAAATTTGAATGGAATGATAAATCACAAGAAGAGACTCACCATATTTTGTACATTTTAGATAGGATTTATTCAGCAAAATTTTGTGGTGACGTCATAAATTTTTTAGGGGGGACGACCAAATACATTTTGATCAAAAATTTACAATGCTTATGATAATTTTAAAATATCTTCAAGATTTCGAAGCATTCGGTTTTGTAGTTCCTGAGTAAATCAGTAAAATAAATTTACGCTTTCATTTATTTTCTTGAATCACCCTATATATGCAAATCCAAAAAATATGAATAGAGTGATAGATCACAAGTACAGACTGATCATATTTTGTACATTTTAGATATGATTTATTCGGCAAATTTTCGAGCTGACGTCATCAAGTTTTTGGAGGGGATAAGCAAATATATTTTGACTAAACATTTATTATGCTCTTTATAACCTTAAAACATCTGCAAGATGTCAGAGCATTCCGTTTTGTAGTTCCTGATTAAATCAATAAAATATATTTACGCATTCATTAATTTTTTTGAGTCACTCTGTATATGCAAATCCAAAAAATATGAATGGAATGATAAATGACAAGTACAGACTCATCATATTTTGTAGATTTTAGATATGATTTATTCGGCAAACTTTCGAGCTGACGTCATCAAGTTTTTGGAGGGGATAAGCAAATATATTTTGACTAAACATTTATTATGCTCTTTATGACCTTAAAACATCTGCAAGATTTCAGAGCATTCGGTTTTGTAGTTCCTGATTAAATCAATAAAATATATTTACGCATTGATTAATTTTTTTGAGTCACCCTGTATATGCAAATCCAAAAAATATGAATGGAGTGATAAATTACAAGTACAGACTCATCATATTTTTACAGTTTAGATAGGATTTATTCGGCAAACTTTCGAGCTGACGTCATCAATTTTTTGGAGGGGATAAGCAAATATATTTTGACTAAACATTTATTATGCTCTTTATAACCTTAAAACATCTGCAAGATTTCAAAGCATTCGGTTTTGTAGTTTCTGAGTAAATCAGTAAAATAAATTTACGCATTCATTAATTTTTTTGAGTCACCCTGTATATGCAAATCCAAAAAATATGAATGGAGTGATAGATCACAAGTACAGACTCATCATATTTTGTACATTTTAGATATGATTTATTCCACAAACTTTTGAGCTGACGTCATCAAGTTTTTGGAGGGGATAAGCAAATATTTTTTGACTAAAAATTTATTATGCTCTTTATAGCCTTAAAACATCTGCAACATTTCAAAGCATTCTGGTTAGCAGATTAAAAATTAAATTTCAAAATGTTGTTTTATAATTTTGATTTTTTTTCCAAAAATCTGGACGTTTCGGGTGAAAAGTCGATTCAGAGTTGTAAACTACATGTGTAGGACTATGTTATTTTATACAATTGAAAACCCATTTACTATGTACAATTTTGAAGTGACGTCATCGCATTAGTGGTGGGGATGATTAGACAAATTTTGGTTAGCGTTTTACCATCTACATGATATTCTTAATATAAGTACAAAATTTCACAACAATCGGTCGAGTACTTTCGGAGATTATCTGTCTAATAAAAATCCGGGACGGCAGACGGACGGACAGACGGACGGACGGACGGACAGACGGACAGACGGACAGACGGACAGACGGACAGACGGACAGACGGACAGACGGACAGACGGATAGACAGACGGAAATGGGAGACCTATTTCTTCGTCTTCTAGGGGTCATGAAAGATCGAGAAAACGTAAAAGTAGAGAGTCGACCGACGGACTCGATTACAATACTTCCTTTGCTTACGCTCGGGAAGTAAAAATGGAAAAATTGAATAATCAAAGAATTGAAAAATCAAACCTCAAAAAATCATCGAGAAAGGCAAACATTCAAAGATCCAGAAAAAGTCGACTTCGAATTTATGGAGGTAAAAAACAAAAATCTCAAAATCAAATTCCATACTTTTTCAACGGAACGGGATTTATTGGGCTTTACTTCAAGGACGAGGGAAGTTCTGTCGAAACAACCATCGACCAATTTTTTTCTCTAAATTGTACCTCATTATATATTAAAAAAATTATACCACTTGATATTTTAAGCACGTGGAAAAGACATATCCAACTTTTTTTTATTTAAATATATAAAAAGCAGTAAATATAAAACAATTAGCGTAAAAAATTAAATGATTTAAATACAGTTTTTTACATGTTCCTTCAACAATTTACCAATAACCCCTACATTTCAGGTACTATTGGCCAGGGTCTTTGTATGCTGGGTTTAGCCTATTCAGGCTGTGACTACACATGGGCAGTGATATGGCTAAGTGCCGCCGTCGCAATGAATGGGTCAGTCTCCACTGGTCCCTTAGCCTCCGTTGTAGATATCAGCCCCAATTATGCGAGTGAGTAATCAAACCAACCCCTTTTTCATTTCATATAGCTACTAGTAGATCTGTAAACGACTGTTGAGTTCAAGTGCACCACACGGTAACGTGAATTCAGCAAATGGTAGCTGTGGGAATTATGTAAGAGCTTGTTAAAGAAACGTCAAGGGAAATATTGAGGGTTAATCGGTTTGTTGCGCTAAACAAGATTACACCGAAATCGGAAATCGTAATAATATTTATCGAAAAGAGATTCCTTTGTGATCCTGCCGCGAGCTGTTGGCGTGCAATTGGTTGAGTGTGCATAGCGTGTCTTGAAAAGCTTTCTCTGTGTATTTATTTTTTTTTAGTTTCGATTTTTAAGGGGAAACCCAGACAAGTCATTTACGAAAAAATTATAAAATAAACCAAAAGTTGTTTTAAATCTTTAAAAATTTCGAAATTTCTGTTACAGGTGTAATTCTCGGCATTGTCAACTCCGTTGTAGCCCTGGTCGGCTTCATAACCCCAGCAGTAGTGGGTCAACTTACATTCCAAAACGTAATTACAATACATTTAACTTTCACTCCATGATAATCTACAACTGTATTTATTCAACAGCAAACAGTCCCTCAGTGGCAGAAAGTTTTCCTTATTTCCACGGCCATGTTAATAAGCACCGGGATCCTTTTCGTTTTGTTCTCAAAATCGGAACTGCAACCCTGGAATTCTCCAGACAAACAAAGCAAGCAGAACGAATCCGAATTAATGGTAATGAACAACAAAGACGACAAAGCAGACGAGAAGAAAGATACCGCCGTAACGATTAAACAATAATGTGTTAATAAACACAATGTAAATATTATTTGTTTCAAATTGATTTAAATATTTTGTTTCGACTGACTGAATAAAGCGAATTTTGATCCAGTGAGAAATAATTTCATTCTGAAAACAAATTGTGAAGTAATAAAGTTCTTGTGCGGTTGTCTATCCCTCCATTTGTTATTCAGCAAAGGAAATCTATTGCTATTATGTTATATGAATAAAGCAAAATTAATTAAACCGCTTTCCGGGCGACCTCTACGAAAGTAATTAATAACAAGGGAGTCACGAATATTAAAAGCTTTAAAGTGGTATAAATATCCAACAGTGTTGTGCTTTATTCAGTAACAATAACGACAATTTTACAGGGTTGCGACGACGAAAGATATTTAGACAAATGCAATTAAAATTTATGTCGCATTTTAAACTTATCATGAAAGAACACGTTAGCATTTACAGTCCTCCTACACTTCGAGAAAAGTTTTAACTTTCTTGATTCGATTAAGGGTCAGTGGTAAGAAACGAGAGAGTTTGAATGTCAGAACTGTTTTACAACTGACAAAGTAAAACGTAAAAGGACTCAAGTTTAAGTTATTATAAGAATTACAATAACCCTCTCTGTCATATAGATTTTCATAAAATGTATCCACTTTTTCATGTAGTTCGACATGCGTAAAAAATTACTGAAACACATACAGTACCACATCTGAGGGTGTTAAGCAGATTTCATCATCATTTTCCGAGAATAAACGAACAAATTTTAATTAATATTGTAATTTTCTCAGACATTTCAACACCTGCTCGAAATCTGTGAGTTACTAAAAATATTTGAAGATGACGTCATCAAATTATTTGGAGGGAACGAATAGCCATATTTTAGTGAGCATTTTATCAGGTCCAGTCCACTCCAAGTATTACTTTTGTCAATATTTCCAAAGATATTATTTATAAATATGTCTATCAAAAGCAGTCAACTACTGTAGACGAAAAATGAAGAAATTTTATATCAACGTATCAGGAAGACACACGTTTACTAAATACAATAAAAGTAAGCAAATATGAAAAACAATAACTTTATTTTGGTTTCGACAAAAATAAAACATTTTCATCCACTCTATTCCACTTCCATCTTCTTTTAGTAATTTTTCCCTTTCTTCAAATTTCGGTCCATTTTTGGCCATTTTCGAAACTTAAAGCTGTTAATTTTTTCTTTTAAATAAATTTCGTCTTCTTTCTGCTGCAATCAATTTTGGTAATACTATTTTTTTTTATAAAATTAATCGCTGAAATGGAGGCGGGTGGGAGGGCGGGGTTTATTATATGTTCTTCTTTAGAAATAGAAATAAGGTGTAAAAAAAGCACTAATCATAACTTTTTTGTTGTACTATTTGTTATAAGATTTACCTATTTCTTATTTCAGAAGAGAAAACAAAATTACACAACAGTATATATAACTTTGTCTCTTTGTTATCATGTTCCTTAGTGACATAACTTTTTCTACAGTCTTTTATAATAAGTAAGCTACAGCCCCGCCCACCCTCCTCCATTTCATTAATATTGTTTAGTGTTATCGTTGCAAGTACTAGCCCCACCCACCCACCCTCTATTTTCTTACAGAGTATATTACTTGCCAGAATCAGTCTTATGTAAACAAGTACTAGCTCCGCCCACCCTCCCTCTTCTCATTCTAGCGACTACTTTTATTTCTGCCTAAGATCCACATTTCATTCATATCAGATAAAATTAATCACCGAAATGGAACCGGGTGGGTGGGCGGGGTTTAGGTATATGTTCTTTTGTAGAGTGGGAATGGGAAATAATAGAAATTAGCGCTAAGTAATTTTTTATTGTTTTATTATTTGTCATAAGATTTATTTCTTATTTCAGAAGAAAAAAAAAATAGAGAACGGGTGGCTGGGTGGGACTAAGTTTAACTTCGTCCTAGACTCTTTTATAAGCCATTCATCACATTCTTTCATCATATATACTATTGTTTCTTGGTCGTCTTCATTCCCGCATGTAAATCTGGCCTTGATTACTCCCTCCTTTTTTGGTTGCTGGTCACTGTAGCTCTTCTTCCCCATATTATTCTTAAATATTTATCGTTGCACCTAGAAATTCTTGTCTCTCCTATTCCCACCTTCTTCTATAGCTATATTAAAATCTTGTCTACAGAACTCCTGCTCCATCTGTTTTCCTTAACTTCTTACTTTTTCTGCTTCGTTCCAGAAATAAGCATTGCGTTCGTACTATTTTGCCCTCATCTTCGAAAGTTCTTATTTCGTAGCCCTTCATTTTCTCTTTCACGCATTTTTGGAGTATCTGTTGGTATTTTACGGCTCTCCTTCCCGTTTCTACTGCGTATTTGCTAAGATGAGACTGATTTTGGCAAATGAGATATTTTGTAAGAAAGTAGTGGGCGGTAGGGCGAGGCTAGTATTTGATAAGATAAGACATATTTTGGCACTTTTGACATTTTCAATTATTTTTCGATTATTTTCATAAATTATCCAGAGTCTGGTCAGGTGCATGAAATAAAAAATCAATTTTATAGCAAATAGTATAATAAAAAAATTATGATTACCTATTTTTTTTTATTATTCTACTAATTTTTTCACATCCTAGAGTCTATTAGTTTCCACTCCCACTCGACAAAAGAACATAATTAGCCCCGCCCACCCACCCTGCCTCCTTTTCAAAGATTGATTTTAACCGATGTGAACCAAATGAATGGTCTTAAACTGAACAAAAATCAAATTAGTCGTTAGAGTAAGAGGAGGGTGGGTGGGCGGGGCTAGTGTTGCTAAGATGAGACTGATTTTGGCAAACGAGATATCTTGTAAGAAAGTAGTGGGCGGGAGGGTGGGGCTAGTATTTGATAAGATAAGACATATTTTGGCACTTTTGACATTTTCAATCATTTTTCGATTATTTTCGTAAATTATCAAGAGTCTGGTCAGGTGCATGAAATAAAAAATAAATTTTATAGCAAATAGTATAATAAAAAAAATTATGATTAGGTATTTTTTTTTATTTCTTCCCATCCTAGAGTGTATTAATCGCCACTCCCACTCGACAGAACAACACAGTAAACAAACTTTTTTTCTATTTTTTTCATGGTCTGTTTGAAACATTTTTCTGTGTGCACCAATGACACTAAACTGTTACAACGTTTGACATATTTTTCACACACAACAAAACGATTCAAAGCCCAGCCAACTCAACTAAACAGATCTGATTCTAGGGAATTCACTAAAACATGTTTTTTTTAAAAAACAGCTGTAGCGATTTTTTTCATTTTTTGTTTAAAAGGTTCACGAAACTTAAAGAAACTATGCTACGCAAGAAAATTAGAAGTGCAAGTAATTTTCAATTAAAAGTATTTCAAGCTAACCGTGTGTCAGGTGCCTTAGGCATGATTCATTTGGAACCGCGTCTTTCCCCGCTGCCTTTCCCTTTTTTGGTTCTCTAGTTGTATTCTTACTTCTTGCTCTGGTTTTACCTTATAATTTTTTCAGTCTTTTCTTGTTTTCCTGTACTGTCTACCCTTTTCTTGTTCGCTCCCAGCAATTCCATAAAATGTTTTCCAATCTCTGCATCTTCATTTTTTCCTAGTTTCTTTCCTCTTTCTATTTTTATTAATGTACATCTTCCTTCATTAGCTGCTTTTTTCAATCTTTGTCTTTTGGTTTTCCCATCTTCTCAATGCCTTGTTGCTCTTTTTAAGGCCTAACATTCCTCGTTCCACCAGTCTTTTTTCTCCTTCTACTTCTTCTTACACTAATTTCTACATTAATTTCTGTATCCTTTATCAGTTGTCTCATTTATTGTCTCATCCCATATTATTCTCACATATTTTTCTGCTTTCTCCTCCCCTTTTTCTTGTTTTCTGTCATATTCTTCTATTTCAACCTCCAGTGGCATATGTTCGGAGTCTATCCGTTTTCCTACTTTGAACTAAAAAATTTCTTGACATAAATTTGCATTCCCTAGTACCGATTGTCCTCCCGGTCCTACATAGGTAAATTTGCTTTCATCGCAGCCAGTTTTTTTTTCATTCAGGATCTTCCATCCTCTCTCTTCAACTAATTACAACTTTGCTTCCTTATTCTCACTTTTGTCTGACGATTTTCTTTTCCGTCGTCTTTTGTATTGCCTATTCTTCCTCTTTTCTTTTCTATTCTTGCTTTGAAATCTCCACCTACAATTACATAGTTGTTATAATTTATTTCTAGTTTGTCTTTTATTTTGTTTTCGTTGTTGTCATGTTCCGTTGTTTACTCTTCCAACGTGCAATTTGTTTCCTTTTATTATGTGGTCGACATCAATAATGCTTCTTCCTCACTGCAGTTCATCTTTATTTCTTTCCTTTTTTGGTTTGTTCCTCATTATTTTTCCCTGTTTAGCTCTTCCTTTTTTCTTTTCTCTTGACATTTTTTCTTTCATCTTTTTCCAGCCTTTTACTATCCTTGTTTCTACTACGGTATTAAAATTCGCTACATACTCTCAAAAGTCATCTTCTTAATTCCTCAGACCGGCGACATTCCAAAAAAGGATTTTCGTTTTCTTCCCGGTCCACTATTCATTCTCTTTCCTTTTACCATCCCCTTGATTGTTTTCTTCTTTTTTTCCTTATTGTTATTCCTTTTACTTCGTCTGTTCTTATTTTTAATATCTTTTACAATATGTATTCTTCGCTAAGGTCGTTTTCGAATTTTTCTTTTTACTCCATTTTCCTTCCGCTGCTAGTTTTTTGACCCTATATCAATTATAATAGGGTATGCATCTGCCTGTCTTTAACTTTTCTTTTCAGCCTTGCTCCTGTCCTATTGGGGATTTTTTACCATATTTTCCGCCTTTGGTCTTTTCTTTTTTCTTATAATATTTATAATCTTTGTTAATAATCTCAATTTCCTCCATTTACAACAGGCTGTAATCTTCCGCGTTTCTACATCTTTGCATATATCCTTCTTGTCTCTCTTCTTCACTAGTTTTTTACGCTTTTCTTGTATATTTTCCTTCCTTTTAGCTTTTTTGCCGCTTGAAAAGTTTCCTTTCTCTTATTCCAGCTTTTCAGTTCGACAAGAATTGGTCTTACTTCATTGCTACTCCTATC